TCATGAGTCATGGACCATGAGTCATGGACCATGAGTCATGGACCATGAGTCATGGACCATGAGTCATGGACCATGAGTCATGGACCATGAGTCATGACTCATGGTCCATGAATCATAAATCATAAATCATGATTCATGACTCATGACTCATGGTCCATGACTCATGACTCATGACTCATGATTCATGATTATTGCTGTTCAACCCTTGTCTATGTTTGCATATAAAGTTTGCTACATCTGTTTGTTGGTCCCTTTGTAAAAACCTGTGTGTCCAAGGGGACAGTCATTTTAATCCAATATGCATTCTTCCAAGTGGTAAACAAATGTTTCTTTTTTTGATACGAATTGTGTGTCTTTTAAGTCTTTCACCTCTCCTGAAGTCTCTGCACCCCTAGATTGAGACACCAAGTCTCGCAGCTCTTCTCTGTCACTGATTTTCTTGAAGGTTTCCTTGAAATAAATAAACCATTTTGTTTGTTTTCCTCAGTTTTCCATGGAGAACCTGAAACGTCTAAACCAGTCTCTGTTCCCTCCGTCCACTGGCACCATGCGTGCTATATGTGAAGAAGGCTTCAGTGATGCCGTCCGGTTTCTGGAAAGAGAATGCTTGATGAGCTGACAGATGCCTCCCTTCATCAATGACACATCCAGCCTAAAGTAAATGATGACTGGACTGTACTTATATAGCACCTTTCTATTTTATTAAGATACTCAGAAATCTTTACAACACAATCTGTCTTCATTTACCAATTCATACAGCTCTGTACTAGATCTCTACTAATCAGTGCTTTAGATCAGCGGTCCCCAACCTTTTTGTGTCACGGACCAGCTTAATGTCAGACAATATTTTTGTGGACCGCCTGCCTTCAAGGTGTGGAGGATAAATACAGCAGAATAAAATTATACAACTGGCATAAAAACTGCTATTTTCTAAATAAACATGAATCCACTATGTATGCAACTTTATTAACAGCGTCCTTGTAACATCTCACCCACCCACCTTCTTACACGTGTTCCCGTGAACCTATCACTCTTGTCCTACAGAACCTCCATTGGTTCCCTGTCACTCATTGCATCCATTTCAAGATCCACCTCATCACATTCAAAGCCCTCCATAATCTGGCCCCTCCATACCTGACCGACCTACTGCATCACTACACTCCTTGTTCCCTCCGCTCCTCCGATGCCATCCTTCTGTCTCCCCTGTAGGGCCAAGCTCCACATCTGGGGAGACAGAGCCTTCTCCGTCGCTGCCCCCACACTCTGGAACTCACTGCCCCAACAGCTTCGTGCCTGCTCCGATCTCTCCACTTTTAAAGAATTCAAAACCCACCTGTTTAAAATTGTTTTTAATGTTTAAATTTGCCCTTTTTTAATGTTTGATTGTGTTTTTATGTGTTATGCATTGTTGATGTTATATTTTTAACTCATGTAAAGTGTCTTTGTGTACAGTACTTAGAAAAGTGCTATACAAATAAAATGTCCATCCATCCATCCATCCATCCATTATCTTTACCCGCTTATTCCATTTTGGGTCACGGGGGTCGCTGGTGCCCATGTCCAGCAGTCACTGTGCGAGGGGCGGGGGACACCCTGGACAGGTCTCCAGTCCATCACAGGGACACATAGAGACAAACGAGACAAACAACCATTCACTCTCTCACTCTCACCTAGGGACAATTTAGAGTTACCAATCAGTCTAACATGCATGTTTTTGGTCTGTGGGAGGAAACCGGAGTACCCGGAGAAAACCCACGCATGCACGGAGAGAACATGCAAACTCCACCCAGAAAGACCTCTGTACCGGGATTTGAACCAAGGACCTGCTTGTTGAGAGGCAGCAGCTCTACCAGTTGCGCCACCGTGCTGCCCCAAATAAAATGTATTATTATTATTATTATTATTATTATTATTATTATTATTATTATTGTTATTATTATTATTATTGTTATTATTATTATTAACATGGCACCAACATTGTAACATGAGCAACAGCCTCTCAGCCCCACACACTGGTCATATAAAGGTTTAAAGGGTAAACGTGTCTTCAACATAAGATACACCACAAAAACAAATATACGTGTTACCAGTGGGAGCAGGCCCTTTAAGAAGGTAGCCATGTGATGGAGGCAAGCATCAGGATGTTGGTGCAAACACCAAGCGTGTCTCACTCCACGAGATTTGGACTTCCTACCTGTTTTCCAGTCACTCTGTCAGGTGGGATGAAAAATATCCAGTGTAATCCTTCAAATGTGCAGATACGGCCGCACGCCTCCTCCTGTCTGCTCCAGACCACACAGCTGAATTTCTCTGTTCACCACCGGAGCAGGCAATGTAGAACCGATCTGCACATGCACACCTAACAGACCTAACCACTTGTGTATGTTGACCTGCATCAAGAGTGAGTCATAGACAGATGTGGTGGAGAGAATCTGGTGATTTTTCAAAATAAAACATTGTTCTGAATCAGATATTAAATAAAACAGAAATAATTAAGTGATGTATTATTTCTGTGTGGCCTAGTACCAATTGAGCCACGGACCGGTACCAGCCCGGGGGCTGATAAATCACAAATGTTAAGAACCCATTTCTAAAATCTAACAGGTGCTTTGAAAGAGACAATGAGATGGAGCATCAGCCAGTGTCAAAACAAAGATGAGCCACTGGTCCAGCCGGTCAGTAGCTTTGTGAAGATTTATGGAAGTCAAAAAATTGAGAATTTCAATGGTCTTAGCCAAGAAAGCCACCAGTCATGGCTGCCAGTGTTACAAAGATGCAACCAGCAGTGTTTCCCCTAGATCAGTTCCCTTGGTGGGGCACTCGTCATACAAACCAGATTCCAAAAAAGTTGGGACACTAAACAAATTGTGAATAAAAACTGAATGCAATGATGTGGAGATGGTAAATGTCAATATTTTATTCGTAATATAACATAGATGACAGATCAAAAGTTTAATCTGAGTAAATGTAACTTTTTAGAGGAAAAATATGTTGATTCAAAATTTCACATTGTCAACAAATCCCAAAAAAGTTGGGACAAGTAGCAATAAGTGGCTGGAAAAAGGAAATTGAGCATATAACGAACAGCTGGAAGACCAATTAACACTAGTTAGGTCAATTGACAACATGATTGGGTATAAAAAGAGCTTCTCAGAGTGTCAGTGTCTCTCAGAAGCCAAGATGGTAAGAGGATCACCAATTCCACCATTGTTGCGCAGAAAGATAGTGCAGCAATACCAGAATGGTGTTACCCAGCGTAAAATAGCAAAGACTTTTAAGTTATCATCATCAACCATGCATAACATCATCAAAAGATTCAGAGAATCTGGAACAATCGCTGTGCGTAAGGGTCAAGGCCATAAAACTCTACTGGATGCTCGTGATCTCCGGGCCCTTAAACGTCACTGCACCTCAAACAGGAATGCCACTGTCAAGGAAATAGCAGAATGGGCTCAGGAATACTTCCAGAAAGCATTGTCAGTGAACACAATCCACCGTGCCATCCGCCGTTGCCAGCTGAAACTCTACAGTGCAAAGAGGAAGCCATTTCTAAGCAAGCTCCACAAGCTCAGACGTTTGCACTGGGCCAGGGGTCATTTAAAATGGAGTGTGGCAAAATGGAAGACTGTTCTGTGGTCAGATGAGTCACGATTTGAAGTTCTTTATGGAACACTGGGACGCCATGTCATCCGGACCACAGAGGACAAGGATAGCCCAAGTTGTTATCAACGCTCCGTTCAGAAGCCTGCATCACTGATGGTATGGGGTTGCATGAGCGCTTGTGGCATGGGCAGCTTGCATGTCTGGAAAGGCACCATTAATGCAGAGTACTATGTTCAGGTTCTAGAACAACATATGCTCCCATCTAGACGTCATCTCTTTCAGGGAAGACCCTGCATTTTTCAACACGATAATGCCAGACCACATTCTGCAGCAATCACAACATCATGGCTACGTAGGAGAAGGATCCGGGTACTGAAATGGCCAGCCTGCAGTCCAGATCTTTCACCTATAGAGAACATTTGGCGCATCATAAAGAGGAAGGTGCGACAAAGAAGGCCCAAGACGATTGAACAGTTAGAGTCCTGTATTAGACATGAATGGGAGAGCATTCCTATTTCTAAACTTGAGAAACTGGTCTCCTCTGTCCCCAGACGTCTGTTGAGTGTTGTAAGAAGAAGGGGGGATGCCACACAGTGGTAAAAATGGACTTGTCCCAACTTTTTGGGGATTTGTTGACGCCATGAAATTTGGAAACAACAGATTTTTCCCTTAAAATGATACATTCTCTCAGTTTAAACTTTTGATCTGTGATTTGTGTTCTATTCTGAATAAAATATTAGATGTTGGCTCCTCCACATCATTGCATTCAGTTTTTATTCACAATTTGTTTAGTGTCCCATCTTTTTTGGAATCCGGTTTGTATTTTATTTTTTTGTCAACGGGAGGTGGGGTGAGGACGGGACCGAGTCACGTCTGTGTTGCCTCAGCGCATGCTTAGTACTATGTTTCTGTCGGTAATTGTCGACGGAGGTTGTGGTGGAGTGGAGCGGTACGTCGGTAGTATTTTTGCTAGCACGTTTGTGTTGCGCACGTTGCGCACCATACTACATCAATATCGGCAGTTGTTGACGGAGTGGGGGGGTCGGGGTCGGTAGACAGGGTGCTCGGTTCTGATAACAGGGCGGGGTGCCCCGCTTGTATAATGGTAGGGGAAACACTGAACCAGAACTAACTCGGATGACAATTTCTCATGTCCAGGACATCAAGTTGTCTTTATAGCATTGCATCCCAGATTCCAGCATCCAGCATTATTCTGGATTGCACAGGTTTTAAATTCAATTCAAAAATACTTTATTATTCCCAAAGGGAAATTAAATGTTGTAACTCTCTATCCTCGTTTCATTAAGAGATGTCACAGATGCTGATGGCTGTAGGCAGTAAGTATCTCTTGTAAAGTCCATCCCACAGCAGATCAGAAGAAACGCCGCAGATGCCATTTGATTCGTCCACACAGACTTGATTGGCCTCTCGGCTGTTTCGGGTTGCAGGACCACCCGAATGCCGGGCAGAACTCCTCCCAGAGCCATGGCCACTCTTCCCAGCAGCCTGCTGAGCTCCCCGTTGCTGCGGACAGCTGGCTGCAGATGCCAAGGGACGATCCCAGTCTTGCTGCTGTCACGAGCAGCGTTTCCTGTCATTTCCAGGATCTCAGTGGTCAGGCACTCAAGCACAGCCGGCAAGGAGATGGGAATGCATCTACGGCGCCTCCTTTTCAACTCATTTGATATTTGGGGCTGTAGCTGAGATATTATTTGAGCTTTTGAGATGTTAATCAGCTGCTCCCAGTTGTACAAAAACACCTTGTTGTTATGGTTATGCAACATAACAAATGTCCAAAACAAAAAAGTTTCAGTAAAAATTTAGAAGGAATGCACATTTTTGGAGAAAAGTGGAAGGAAATGGGCCAAACCCATTTACAGGTCTACTTCAAGATTGTTATCCTTGGTGGAGTTTTCAGGTCCAAAGGGGTACTGTCTCCCTGTGGCATGCAGAAACTGGAAAAGACTTGATCCATACAACAATATCTTGGAAAACTTCCACATGATTTCCAGGATAATACACTGATACCAAGGATGACCCAACAACTGGATGGAAGAGAGACAAGTTTACTGACATCAGGGCAAGTGGTCACCTCTTTACCACACTCCCCATTTTCCTGGACAATACACCCTAAGTCTTTAGTTAGAGTTAGACCTAAGATGCAGGCAGACATGGAGAGTCAAAGTAAAATTAAACATTTGTTTAAAAAAACAACAAAGTCCATCGTGGGGGCAATAACTTACAAGGGAAAAATCACAGCGAGGTAATGGGGAGCACGAGGAGGACCGAGACATCTGGTGAAACCAATGCAACGAGTTGCTTATAGGATGGTGACAAGGAACCCTTTAAATAAACTGAGTGAGAATTGAAGTGGGAACACCTAGGCTGAATACTGGGACAGGATTGACTGCTGACTGGAGAAACACTGAGGAGGCTTATGGGGATAAATGGAAGATAGCACAAGAAACACTGGGAAACAAAGCAAGAACAAAACCAGAATACTCGAGTAAAACCCCAACACTGTAAAATACAAAAAATATTTAAATAGAACATGAAAACACTAAAGAACACAAAGGACAAATAAACCATGACGGATTACTATGATAAACTACAAGAAAAATGGAGCTTGAGATTGACACACGGATTGGTGCAGCATCTGCAGTATTGCGGACTCTGTACCGGTCTGTTGTGGTGAATAGAGAGCTGAGCTGTAAGACAAAGCTCT